CAAATGGATCAAAGATTAAAATGTTAAAATGTTAAATAACAAAAGTTAAATGGAAACATAAGACACATACTCCAGGGTATATAAAATTAAAGATTGATAAATTAAGTCACAGAAAAATTATTCATGGCAATAAAAAAAAGTCAAAAACAAGTGACGAACTGGAAAAAAAATACTTGCAACACACATCACAAAGGGCTACTCTCTCCCCAATACATAAAGACTTCCTGCAAATTATTAAAACAGACTAACAAGAAAAATGGACAAATGATATGAACAGATAGTTCACAGAAAAAGAAATACATATACATATACAAATAGTTGCTTAACCTTGTTCATAATGAGAGAAATAAAAATTAAAACTCTACTGAGGTGGAGTTTGACAAAAATCTAAAAGTTTGATAAAGCCTTATTTGGCTGCATTGAAATGGAGCTTCCAAACCTGGACGGTAGGGGTATAAAATGGCACAATCTTTTTAAAAGACAATTGGTCAATATCTACCTAATTATAAATGCATAGATATTTTACCCAACAATCCTATTTTCAGGAATTTACCCTAGAGTTCTACTTGTACATGTATAATATGAGCTACATAAAAAGTTGCTCATTATAACATGGTTTATAATAGCAAAATAGTGGCAAAAACCTAAATGTACATCAAAAGGAGGCTTGTTAAATAAAATGATACATACAACAAAACACTCACACTGCAAAAAGTAATGAGGAAGCTCTTTGTAGCTTGATGTGGGAATCTCTCAAAAATACATTGTTAAGTAAAAAAATAAATGAATAAAGTAAAGCATAGAACAGCCCAATCTGGCACGATATATGCTTAAAATTTGTGCAAAAAGTGTATATATATATTTTTTTGTATTGGATTTTACAGGCATAAAAACTCTCTGGACTAATAAGAAACAATTAACCATGAAACCTCTTAGGGAGGCGTGAGAGCTGGCACCAAGGAATCATGCTTTGCTGCCATCTAGTGCTCCCTAGGTAATTGCACCCAGCCAGGCAGGAAGATCATTGCCTCCATTAAGAAACTTAGCACCAAAGGGCTCTCTTCTATCTTTATTTAACACTAATAAAGCATTTACTATGTTCCAGACATTGAGCTCAGCATTCACTAGTATTCCCTCTTAATCCTTTTAACAGCCTTATGAAATAGGTACTTTTATCATCCTCATTTTACAAATGAGGGAACTAAGGTAAAGAGACTTTGGACATTACACGAGATCATACAGCTACCATGTGGCTAAGTCTAGGGTTAGAACAAGTGGCAGATTGGCACCAGGCTCTGTGCTCTGAACCACCTCCTTTGTGAGGGTCAAAGGTCTGTGTGATCCTAACAGTACTCAGAGAGAACCTCACAGCCCACACAACAGCTGCTACCCCCATTCTCCCAGCATATCTGCCCCAAATAATTTCACACAGGGACTGAGTTCACCTCTGTCTCATAGGCAGTTCGACCTGAGTCAGGGACAAATACTGGCCCAGGCTAGATCCAGTGGGCTTTATACAAATTTTATTTGTAAAGTATTTCATACCACATACACAAAGATATAAGGAGTAATATAATAAATACTCAGTACCCACTAGCAGCTTTAGAAATAGAGTGTTTCCAGGAACGGCGCATCAGTGATGAGTTTCAACGCTCACAGTTCAATGGCTGGTTTTCTTCCATTGTATTAACACATGGGGGACACCAAGTAGACTATGAATGCAATATGACTTTTATAGCAATTCTCATCTTTCCTAATAAACAATCCTCCCCTAATTAGTTAATTGTATCCTGCTGGAGTTATCTGCTGTTTGAGTAACAAAGCAGTTGCTTTACAGTGGAGCTACAAAGCGTCTCGATTATTTGTTATAGACTAAGAAAATAGTGGCTCCTAACCAAGATTGTGAACCTCCAGGCTCCTAGGAGTTACTGAAGGAATGAGAAACCCAAGTGCTGAGCTAGCACTATTTGTCTACCAGAGTTATTAACCTGGGATCCACTGACTTCTTAGCAAATCTATGAAAGTCCTGGAATCACATACTTTGTATGAGTGCCTTTTTCCTTTAGGGAGGGGTTCCATTCCATATCTTTTGTCAGAGTCTCAGAGGTCTGAGACCTTCCAAAAAGATTAAGAATCATTTCTATAGAAGAGAAGTTGGCAAATGGCATAGGCCAAATCTAGTATAATACTTGCTTTTGTACAACCCACAAGCTAAGAATAGAATTTCTATATTTTTAAATGGCTAAAAAAAAATCAAAAGAATATTTCATGACACGTGAAAAGTATATAAAATTCAAATTTGTGTCCAAAAATAAAGTTTTATTGGAACACAGGCACTCTCATTCATTTGTATATTGTCATGGCTGCTTTTGCACTACAAAAGCAGAGCTGAATATGTGCAACAGAGATGCAAAGCCTAAAATATCTGGCCCCTTTCTGAAAAAGTTTGCTGACTAGATGGGACTAGATAATATGTCTTGTATGCATCTATTTCTCACGTGCATGTAGATGCTATTACGATTAAGTACAAATTCATTTAAATATATTATTAATATAGTGAACATTAGTCATAGAAACTCTATTAACTGTATGTGGGAAATTCCCGCCATGTGTCTTGCTGGGAAAAAGTCGGCCTCCCCATACAGATTCTTCCTTGTCCCACCTCCCTGACAGCCAAGACATGGAGATGTGACTTGGGATCAGCCCATCTAGGACTTAGAAGCTAAAGTGAGTCACACAAAACAGTAGAGATTAGGGATAGAGGAGCGATCACACTGGCAGTAGTGGAGACGTAGACATTACTAACTTCCAAGAGCAGCAGGGTCAGCAGGATGGGCGTGCCTGCAGCAGTAACCTGTTTCTGGTTGCACATCAGTGGTCTCCTTACCAGACAGTTTGTAAGGTATAGTTTTGTCTTTGAGTCTGGCTGTCTGGCCTCCATGTCTACCTGGCCAGGACAAGGTCAGGCACTCCATGAGACTGAGCCTGCATCACTCATTGCTTGGGGCAGAGGGCTGAAAGCAGAGGTCAGTATGTATGAACGCCAGGAGGACAGACAGTGGCTGATTCGTCTTTCTATCCTCGGCTCCTAAGATAGTACCTGTTACTCGTAAAGTGCTCACTAAATATCTGCTGATAAGTGAACCAGTGAGTTAAGTACATGAATTGAGGAAAGTATACACTAGGGATCTGACTTCAGACTCCGGCCACCTGAAACTGGCAGTGAGAGTTTTATGTATCAAGGTCTCATGAGAAGGGGATGTAAAGACAGCCCTGCTCCTCAAGCTCTATATGCGGCTTCCTGGGTTTCCCAGATTATCAGAGCTCCGGTGATGAGAAATGGTCAGAACTTGGGGATTCGTGTAAATTTGACCCTGGGCTATGAACCCCAGAGCTCCCTCAGATAATGCTTTCTCATCTTAGAAGGTGGCTGGTCAAAAAGCATGTGTGTATGCACATGTGTGCACTAGGTAGGAGAATATGGAACAGTGTGCACACCAGGTGCACTAGCTCTTGCCCTGGACCTGGATCAGAGACTGCCATAAAGCAAGAAACTTGGTGTTGGTGCTAAGGACCTTTTCTGGTGGGTTTGTAATTTAGAAAGAAGTGATTACAGTGATAACCAAAAATCAGCAACATCGCATTACTTCTAGATCTATTTATATATGGTGGGTGACAGATTTTTAAAGATCTGGAAGAAAGGAGCCAATGAGAACTTTTATAGCAAAAAATCCAGAATCAACAGTGGTATTTCCACAAAGCTAGTGCTCCAATGCCACAATATTTGTGGTTTCTCTAACAGTGGCATTTTTGATCATCTGAAGCGAGAGGGAGAACACGCCGTTATTCACAGTGCAGAACTTTAGCAGAAGCCCAGATGGCTTAACAGGATTTCTATAACCAGTATGTGGTATATAAGAGTTAGGTTTATTTTTGTCCCCTACTATCATTTGAAACTTTGTTGAGAAGACATGATCTTCCTCTGTTCATGGGTAAAGATTTAGGCAGACATATTTGTCAGATAAATCTTCCTGTCATTTTTAATCATATAGTCTCATTGCATTAAAGTATCTGGTCAAAACTACAAACTTGGCATTAACTTTTGCTAATCTGAGCTTTGGGCCTGAAACCTATAGCAGAACAGTGGGATGGAGTCCTTCACTCCCTCTTCTTTCCTCTTCAACTCCTCTCTATGCTACCTATTCTACCACAGCCTCGGAAGCTGAGGGAGAAGCACTAGAAATAGAGCAGTTCTTACTTACCTGGCTGGCTCTGTGCTCTCTGGGCGTGGCTGGTGTTAAGAGCTTTCTCTTGGGTTGACATCTTTATGACTTAACCAGAGGTTCCTGTTGTGCCCCTTGACCCTGGCAGATGCATTTCCATCCTGGCTGTTCACTTGCTGTCCTCTTCTCAGTACTTGGGCACCAGGCAGTATGTGTGCAGACCCTTTTGGCTGAGGTCTCCTTGGCTCTGCTGATGGCCTGTTGGAAACGTCAAATATGACCCCACAGCACGGCCGTAAGAAAATTCATTCATCCCTAGCCATGACAATGCCATCAGCAAGGCAGTTAGCTTTGCCTTTTACCCTCTAGATTTCCTAAGCAGGAGTCAGAGACCAACCTTCAGCCCAGTTCTGCTTGCATTCTCAGGCCTGAGTCAGGCACCAGTTTTCTGGGTCTTCCAAAGCAGAGAACACATTTCCAAACTGAGTTGTCCACTTGAAATTCTCCTCAGTGGATAGTGGTAGACGGTGTCACTTCCCTACTCTTCTTCCAAAATGGGGGTTGGAACTCAGCACTGCAACAGTTTTTCCCAAAAAAATCTTTTCATCAATCTTCTAACTCCTCTGTTCTCTCAAGTTATATTCTTAAACTAGATAAAGGGGTTCATGTTCTCCTGCCTTCCCCTTAGTATCTTCAATCAAATTTGAGGCAAAAGAATTCCATTCTAATAACTTGTCTGTTACTTATTGTTGCATAACAAACAACGCCAAAACTTAGTGGTGTAAACAATAAACATTTATTATTGCTCACAGCTTCTCTGGGTCAAGAATTCAGGCGTGGCTTAGCTAGGCAGTTCTGGCTCAGGGTCTTGTGAGATTCCAGTCAAGATATCAGCCTGAGTGGAACTGGACATGGTTCTGACTTCTGACATGGTTCACCCTCACAGTTTGCAAGCTGGTGCTGGTTGTTTGTGGAAGGCCTCAGTTCCTCTCCATGTGGAATTCTCCTTAGGGCTGCTCAAGGGTTCTCATGACATGGCAACCAGATTTCCACAGAATGAGCAATCCAGACCAAAATGAAAGAAGCAATACCTTTTATGTTTTAGCCTCAGAAGTCACACACTGTCACCTCTGATCCTTTATTAGTCACACCAGCCAGCTCTGACTCAATATGGAAGAAAACTATATAAAGGCATGAATACCAGGAATCAAGGATCATCGGGGGCCATCTTGGAGGCTGCCTACCACACCCTGTTACACTTCAAATGATATTATCCCCCAAAACAAACTGAACAAAGTACAAGTAAAGAAGAGACCATAAATTTAGATTGTTTTAATCAAAACTTCTTTGGAGACTTCTTGATCTTCAAAATTACATATGTCATTTGGCGCACTTCACATTTATTCCTCATCTATAAATGGGTCCAGGACCTTCCTTGAAGGAAAGCAGGGCCTAGAGCTGATCTTAAGGATTATTTTTGGTTCTCAGATCTCTGATTCTACATAATAATCCAAAAATAAAGCTTTGGAAATATTTTTTAGAGATGACATTTACACTGAAATTTACAGTTCAATAAAGACATTCTAAGGTATGTCATTACAAGAATCATCTCTGTTTTATTTATTTTACAGAGTAATGATTTAACTTGAATATATTTGGGCACGGTAAGTATTTGACATGAAAAGCAGTTGTATAAGAATGGGCATCAGAAAAATAGCAACTCATCTTACACATCACAACTAGAAAATATTTTTCTGTCTGATCATTTAAGTGTTACAAATCCTGAGAATGTTATACACTGAACAAACTAGGTACTACCTTATAATTAAATCTTGCTTGGAAATCATCCTTTAAAAAAATGCTTTGAGGTACAAATCACCTATGTATTAAACATGAGTCTTTTACATTTTACAGAGTTTAAACAAATATATCAAATAATTACAGTTCAGTGGCTTTTAAAACAGCTATTAGTCAGGTTCAAGGACACACTGTTCCACAATTTCCCGTAAACTGGGGTTCTCCATTGCAGCTGCTACTCGCTCTTTGTCATTTATCTGCTTGTTGACTGCAAAACACACAGACAGAAGTTAGCAAAAAAAACTGTGTCAATATATGGCAACAGACACTATTTTTATTAGCCTGTTAAAACAGAAAATTTAACTCCTTGAGAACTTACAGTTGGTTTTGGTTAATTATTCATAAGTTCTGGAAAGAAGACTTAGAAAAATATCTGTTATAATCCTACTACTCTACTACAACTTTTCATTTCTTTCTTCCTAATCTTTGTTCATATATAGTTATATTCAGTAACTATTTATGTTACTGAAGTAATGTACTTCAGTAAACACAATTTTTAAAATTGCTCTTTTTTCCCCTTGAGCCTATTTTTTAAACTACAGGGTTATTTAACACAGAAAAAATTATAAGTTCTATATTAATTATGAAGACTATGTTACAATAAACACCTTTAAACATACAGCCTTCTTTCTGAAAAGATTCTAAACGTGGGTTTATTAGATCAGAGTATATAAGTATCTTCATAATTTGATTCATATCATTGAATTACTTCTCAATATTTTTTTAGCAACTTATATTTGCAACAGCAGTACCTGAACTATCAGTTTGCCAGAATTATCTGGTATTAATAAAAACAAATTCACATACACACACATAAAACAGGAGGTAAAAAATGGCTCCAATTGTTGTTGTAATTTCTTGATTAATAGTGAGATAATATTTTCCCATGTTTATTTATTAGTTCTTCTTGTGTGGATTTTCTATTCATGTCTCTTTCTATTTATCTACTAGGTTTTTTTTTTTTTTTAACAGTTTGCATTGATCTTCACATGATAAATGTATTGGCTCATACCTCTTGTCGTTAATTTGCTAAAAGCACTCTTGATGGAAGAGTTCAAGAGAGGGATGTCCATATTCTTAAAGCAGGCTAACTTTTTTGGGATCCTGCTAAAATGTCACATGTAGAAAACATACATATATTCCTACATAAACAATTTTAATTCTGTATTTCTTCCTACTACAATGTAGGCTCCACAAGGACTACAATGTATCTCAAAGGTCAAACTGTGCCTACACGTAGAAAGCACTCAATAAATACTAAGTATGAAAAGCCCAGAATGATAAAGTTTAGTACTATGGTATTATAAAATCCCATAATCAAGAGGAGTTTCAAAAACATAACAAAGGTGGATTTAGCATACCTAAACTCTTTTATTTTTTATATTAACAGGTATGAGCTATCAGTTTATGGGATCTGAATAAATTTAACCCACAAGGAGTAAAATCTACATACTGAGAACTGCGAAAATAGGACACGGTTTTAGTAGTTTTCATGACAGCACCTAAAATGTTTCCTGGATGGGCTGTTCCTCTGAAAGCAGTGGGCTTCCCTCTTTGTAATTCTCTTCTGTGTTTGTGTTTTTGTACATCTCTTCCTATGTGTGCTTTTCTAAGTCACCGTCTTCCTCTGTATGTCTGTCTTATTGAGGCTCTTACTCTACTACTGTTCCTTTCTTATCTGCTGTCTTTTCCCAACTTCTCAATTTACCTAGTGATGAAAGCTAAGCACAACATGCACTTTAAATGTATTCCTCTATTTTCACTCTATAATTTGTAGATAAAATTCTGTTGTATTTAATGTAATACATATGCGATGTGCAACATTTTGTCTTCTGCTTTTTCCAAACCTCACCTCTGCTATTTTTAAGTGGCTTACACTGACTCAGAAAGACAACACCTATTCCAAGATTCCCTACAGCTTTACTTGGTAGACCTCCGATTTCACTTTCAAGTACACAGCTCTCTAGCTTACAACCAAGGAAAAGAATCAAGTCCTGTTTAGAGCTTATAAATCAAGGTTCCTAGAGCCAGATGTTCTTTACAGATGTGTAGCCACTTGCCTAAACCAGTCAATATCGACAGGGTCTAATTCTAATTCACCCAGAGTCCTATTGAAAAAGTTACTTTCTTGAAATGCCTAGGTTTCCCCACATCAAAGAAGAGCTAATAACTGATTTTGCACTTTTTTGCGAATGACCCTGCAGATACTTGGCTGGCAGAATAACCTAGTATCCAAGATAAAGTACTATCTGAAGTTATTTTTTAATAGTTCGAGATTCACTTACTGTCTTCTTCTGTTGAGTGAGTTCCTTCAGAAATGTAGATTTCCAACTAGGAAGAAAAATATTAAAAGCAAAACATTTAGAGCACTTTAAGATGATAAGTGAGGTGGAATGTACAAAGAACTCAAGTCTAGGGATTAAAGCCCAAATCCTGTTTCCATCATCAAAGATTTAGGGACAAATCTCTCAGATTCTTCTTTGAAACAAGTGCTAAAATAAGCAGGATTTTTAATTTTGGTCACCTGAGGAAGTCTATTATTTTTTTTATGAATGCAAATGAATACAATTTTATACAAATGAGATCTCACTCATATTTTACACATGGATATCTCTCCTTCCTCCCAAACCAGTATCTAAACTTCCTCCCTGCCCCACCCCCACCAAGAAAGCTATATTAATAATCTAGTGTAGCTTCTTCCATCCTTTTCTCTATACACCATAATCTAACACAGATTTCACACATACATACACCCCAAGGTTAGATGTTCATTTGTATTGCTTATTTTACAAAAATGGGATCACAATATATAGTTTTCAGTATCCTCCTTTTTCTCATCCACGTTTATCTTGATAAATTTATTCTCAAGTACAATATTGGTTAAGCTACCCATCCTGACCCTGCTGCACTCACTCCCTCAGATTAGCTAACCTCTAAGAAACAGGGCTTTTGAGACAAATCCACAAAATTGTTGCAAATCCTAAGGCAAATAAATCATGTTATATGATATAGACATGTTTACTCTCTGGAGAACCCTGGAGCATATGAGCTAATTCTTATATACTTATTTACTACTGAGATTTTTTCATGAATGAAAAAAAACCATAGCTTATTATGGCTAAAAGAGACCTTAGATATTATCTAGTCCATTCTTTTTTAAAAGACAAAACACCATATAAATTCCTAGTGGCATAATACTAACTCTTATTCTAGACAACAGAGTACCAGTTATAAAATCACTCCACTACAGCCATGCCACCTTGAACATGCCCATCTCGTCTGATCTCGGAAGCTAAACAGGGTTGGGCCTGGTTAGCATTTGGATGGGAGACCACCTAGGAACACCGGGTGCTGCAATCTTTAAAAAAAAATCACTATGTACCCATTTACTTGGGTTTAAAATTATGCATGACGCATTATTCTGCAAACAGCAAATAAAGGACAAGAGTCAAGCACTTACCCTGCTATTCCTATATAAACTGTATCTCTGGGTAAACAGACAGCTGGTTTGGTACCTTGTAGGCATAAAAGATTCTAAATTTGAGAGGTTCCTTGTGGCCCTCTTTAAGTGGGTCGTACTTGGTTTTAAGATTTTGCACATGAAAAAATGCTCAACGTTTTGAGCCATTAGGGAACTACAAATCAAAACCATAATGACATACCACTGCAAATCCACTAGGATGGCTATAATGAAAAAGACAAATAATAATAAATGTTGGCGAGGACGTGAAGAAATCAGAACTCTTATACACTGCTGGTGGGAATGTGAAATGGTGGAGAAGCTGTGGAAAACAGTCTGGGAGCTCCTCAGAAAGTTAAATGTAGAGTTACCATATGATTCAGCAATTTCACTCCCAGGTGGAAGAGAAATGAAAACATGTCCACACAAAAACTTGTACACATACGTTCACAACAGCATAGAAAGCGGAAACTACCCAAATGTCTATCGACTGATAAATGAATGAATGAGGTATATCCACACAATGGAATAGTATGTAAAGCTATAAAAAGGAATGAAATACTGATACATGTTGTAACATGGATAAATTCTGAAAATATTATTCTAAGTAGCCAGTCTTAAAAGACTACAAATTGCATGATTCCATCTAAATAAAACGTCCAGAATAGGCAAATCTTTAGCGACAAAAAGTAGATTAGTGGTTGCTTAGGGATTGGGGAGGATTTGGGAGAAATGGGGAGTAACTGCTATCCGTATGGGGTCTATTATTGGGATAATGAAAATGTTCCAAAATTAATAGTGACTTTGCACAATTTGGTGAATAAAGTAAAAACCATTAAATTGTACACTTTAAAAAGGTGAATTGTATAGGTGAATTACATCTCAATAAAGCTGTTATAAAACAACAAAAAACATCTTCCTTACCTTATGTTTAAACGGTAAACACCGTTGAAGTTTTACTCTTAAGCACAGCCCTGTAGAGGAAAAAAAGGCACAATTATCCCTTCTTACTGGTTCTTGAAAAAGTATACAGCTGTATCTAGGCATCTCCATATAGTATAGTAACTAAAAACAGCTTTGGCTCAAGCCATTTTAGGTCTCCTTTGAGCCTCACACCATGCATGCTAGCAACTTTAATATAGACATAAACTTATATATTCCGCATGATAATCCAATGAGCTACATATTATCAACCCCACTCTGCAAATTATGAAATCAAAGTCACAGGGTAATTTGTCCAAGATCACTGAGCTAGTAACTAGAATTGGAACCCAAAACCACTGCAAAGCCCAGGTACTTTCTACTACATCAATTTGCCTTCAGGCAAAGGTCAATTAACTCATTAAACTTTACCTAATGCCCCAAACAGGCCAGGCCATGCAAAAATTTAAAGCCAAGAGCCACTTAAAAAGGACCACAAGAAACCTCTTGAAGCTAGAATACTCTATGTATGCAAGGTCCAAAGCTGTTTCACTAAAACAAGTTCCTCTGAAGTTCAGTTCAATGCCAAGTCATAGTTCAATGATTCTTTTCCCAGTTAAGACTTGAAAGAGAAGTTAAAACTGGGCTTGGAACAGACCCTCATTACCAATGTTCCACTTCCCTCCCGCCTCAAAATAAGGAATGAATTTTAAACTAAATCTATACCCCTAGACATAGAAAATAAATCAAACTCCTCATATTATAAAGAGAGAGTATTTCAGTAATAAGTTTTGGCTTTGCAGGCTTTTATTTGAAGCAATTTATTTCCTCTCCCAACTAATACTTAAGGGCTTATTATACTATAAGGAATATTTCCTTAGTATTTTGATTTAAAAAAATAATAAAACCCCAAACCATACATAATAGCAAAATACAGTTGTTAGACTACCAATCTTTTGGGGAGGTATGAAATTAATTTGCTTTTGGTCTTCTAAGTACCATCAGGTTTTCTAACAGAATTGTTTGAAAAATCCCAGAATAGGAAAAGGGATTAGATGAGCTACAATGAGACTGGGCCTAAGAATCTAGAACATAGTAATTCCATAATACATATTAGGGAACTCTAAAGACAATATGTAATCTCTTTAAAAGGGTCTTCCATTGCAGGATCTGCCTTAAAGCATATCTGGAGAGCCCTTCTCTTCCCTCTGCCCCCACATTGTCTCCTTAATGTTACTGTGGACCATCTGAGCACCCTCATGTGTTCTAGTCATTGTTGGTAGGTGTTTTACTCATTAAGTAAATAGTAACTTTTAAAATTCACAAAGCACTTTCTTGAGCATCAACATCCTCAAGAGAGGCAATGAAGTATAACTGAGATAGATACTTTAGGTTCAAAAGTGGCTCCACTACAGGTCCTAGCAAGTGCAATGAGACAAGAGAAAGGTATAAAAGGCATCCAAATAGGAAATGAAGAAGTCAACCTGCCACTATTTGTGGATGACATGATTCTCTATATAGAAAAACCTAAAGACTCCACAAGAACATGACTAGAAACAATAAGCAAATACAGTAGTTTCTGGATACAAAATCAACGTTCGAAAATCCATAGCATTCTTATACTCTAATAACGAAGTGTCAGAAAAAGAAGTGGAAAAATAATTCCTTTTGCAATTGCAACAACAAAAAACAAACCTAGAAATAAATTTAATGAAACATGTGAAGGACCTATTTAACGAAAATTATAAGACCCTATTAAAAGAAATCGAAGAAGATACACAGAAATGGAAAGTTATTCCATGTTCTTGGATTGGAAGAATCAACATCGTTAAAACGACCACATTACCTAAAGCATTACACACCTTTAATGCAATCCCCATCAAAATCCCATCGGCTTTTTAAAAAGAAATAGAACAAAAAATCATCAGATTTGTATAGAAGCACAAAGACCCTGAATTGCCCAAGCCATCCTGAGAAAAAAGAATGAGGCTGGAGGCAGCACTCTGCCCGACTTCAAATTATACTACAAAGCGACCGTAATCAAAACAGCATGGGTCTGGCAGCAAAACAGACACACGGACCAGTGGAACAGAAGCGAGAGTCCAAAAGTAAACTCATATTTATATGGGCAAATAATTTTTGACAAAAAAACCAAAAACATACAGTGGAGAAAGGAAAGTCTCTTCAATAAATGGTGCTGGGAAAACTGGAAAGACACCTGCAAAAGAATGAAACTAGACTGTTGTCTATCACCACACACCAAAATTAACTCAAAATGGATTAAAGACCTGACTATAAAA